CTTTCTATGATGTAATAGCGACTGTACGATCATTAGATCATAACAAATTACACCATGACGAAGCTTGATCTAGTTATATTAGAATCGATGTCATTGTACTTTTTCTTCCTATTAATGTATCTATTTCAAGAAGAGCGACATTTTTTTTTGTTCTACGTCCAATGTGCGCGACTAATTAACGCGGCTAACGTATCATTAAGATGGTCCCTTAATAGAGAAAAATAATTCTGTGCTCTTTCAGATCAATCAGATCGTTCCGCAATAACGCACTGTACTCGTTTCCACGTAACACTCGCTCTCTTAATTAATCTTCGTTTTCTCTTGTCTCGTTTTTCGAACATCTTTCGACACGATTTAACATCCTTCAAATTAATGCATCACACACACTCGAAGGAAAAATTCATACAAAATTCTCATTATGTTTCAATCTCTCTACACCAGTTAATCCCTATTTGCCTATGTAATCGTGATGTATCGTTTCGAGAAACCAAAACGCTGCTGCTAAAAATATCGTTCCTGAAAGATCGCCCAAAGCTGTCAGATACGGTATGGCGGAATTATCCGGGTCTATCTTGAATCGCCACATAGCGTGTATAATAACATGCGCCACGTAGAGCAACAACATGACCTGCGAAACAAAAATTCTCAGATATTCGAACCTTTCACTTTTTCAGTGGTACAATTACGGGCGTTATACTCACTTGAAGGACGGCCATAACAATGTAAGACACTACGAAATATATGTGTAAAGTGGACTTTCCCCATTGGATATAATCAGCGGCGAAAATGAAGATTAATTCACCGAAAATCGCCATACAAATGAGTATTCTCGCTGTTTTCGCGTATAGCGCTAGAGAATGAAAGCGAGCGTTATTATGCAACTGCGAAAAAGCGTGTAAGAACGTAACATTAGTTATTCTTGCATCACTTACTGCCTGTAAAGAGCGCCTTCCACGGGGCAATGAATATTTTCGAATGTGGCGGTAAAATTCCCATGATCGTCGTTTGGTGCAATGTAGTTGAGATTCTAGATGCTTGCACGGAGACTAAATTACCACCAATTCCGTTTATTATTGGATTAAAGATGGCGAATCCCGTGAATCGGTCAACGACTCCACTGAGAATCAAACCTCCGCATCTGTATTAAAATACAAATAACGAATAACAATCGTTTAATCGTTGAGAATTCTGAATTAAAAATCTGTGAATGAATGTACGTAAATATAATACGACTAACCCACTGATGAATAATGCCGATAAAACTGGAATCCATCCAGATGTTAAAACGTTTCTAGTATATTTATTCTTGAGCACTACATAAATCCAAAATGGTAAAATCAACAAATAACAACCGAGTATAATGTACAAAATCCATGGTATGGAACCGGTCATTCTCTCGAATAACGCCGATGCGATTGTGGATAGCATGCTAATTGATACGACGTCTCCGAAGGAGGCAGCCAAAGGTGTGGCTAAATTATCAGGATTCATTTTACATCGGTATGAGATTATGATGACGGCAATCATCACAAAATCTGTGGAAAAAGAACGCGAATTAATGAAATAATTTCGAGGAAAAATAAACAAGGAAAAATTGGAATGTTAAAATAACGCGTTGTAACTTTTTTTTTTTTTTTTTTTCCTTCTACCGAATACATAATTATTTTCTAATGATTGATTCTCAATAAAAAATTATTCGATTATAAAAGAGAATGCGTAGATTGACGAATATGAGTTGCATTCGATGAATAACATTTGCAAGTTTAATGTAAATGTCGTAAAAAGGAAAATTGATTCACGATTCAATTACAATAGACTTTACCTAGAATAAAACAAGAACTCGTGGCGGTGGATACACTGGAGGCGATCAATAACAGGCAATGATTCCATTCGAAATTGTACTCGCTACTTTCTGCTATCGCGGAAATAATCGCGAAAATTGATACCAAAATGGCCGCGACAATCGCCTGTATCTGTACCAACGCGATGTTACCGATAATCATTTTCACGATCTCTCGAAACTCGTGCATATTCCCCAGATTGGCTTGCGTACATAAACGCGATGCCAAGCACATGTCGAGATTCCCTTTCAGACCCAACAGCGAAGGGACAAGAATGATTAATTGAGAAACGGTGCGAAATACTGGCCAGTCCTAAAACAGAGAGACGACATTTAATTAAAGGGAATATCCCGTTCCCCTCCGGGATATTCTTATGGAATGGAATGCAACCGAGGAATGTAAATTACGTTTCAAGAATTTCTACATTAGTAGACGCCGATAAAATCTTAGATCGCGAATGTTTTAAGGGATGTTGAGTCGGATGGGCTCGAAGATGAGGAGAAGAAAAGAAGAAATCGCGCGGAATATTTATGTATAAAAAGATTCTCAAGATTAGCCCTGTTGTTTTTGGGGCCATCATATTTCATTTGTTACGACAGATAAAATGCAGAGATAAATAAAAAATAACGCGCGTTTTACCATTATCTTCAGATAATAAAAGTAAAGTGTGCGATAAGAGGAACTTGCCCTTGGAAAAATATGTGATCTATAATAGAAATTAAATTTTCAATTTATACCAGATTTAATTAATCGAATCTAAAACGAGCTTAAATTGCTTTATTAACGTTTTATTAACGTTGAGTGATACGTACCTTGACATTCTCGAGTACGAGACCAGCACCGATTGTACCTATCCCGGCGATAAAGAAAGGCACAGCGACTTGAAGGGTGGTCTGATACCATCTTTCGTGTCTGTACGCGCTGTTACCAAACCCATCCGTGTTATTATGGAACTCAGGATCGGGATCTGAATTTGCGACGGAAGAGATCGTCACTATCGAACATCCACTGGAAAGTGTTCCACCACCGAGATTGGGTAGTGACATGTCCGTTTTGTTCTTTTGGCCATTAGGACTTTTCAGACCCGCTATCAAGAAATCAATACATCTCACATTGCACCGTACGAAGTTTTAAAGACATTTAATTTATAAATTATTTCCCGGAATCGTTCTTGGATCACTCGAATCAAACACGCGTCTATTAAAAACTTATCTTTCCAAGATTTTTTTTATTATGATCTCTTAAATTTTCATTGACAGAAATTTGAAATTTTTTTCCAGAGATATACACAAATATACGAAATTTTCACTCGTTGAATCGCGTGTTCCCGTTAACTCTGTTTCCAGGATGCTTCGGTCGCAAATCTTTCCGTTCTGAACGAGAAATTAAAAAATAATAACGAAAATAATAATAATCACGACGAACATTATCGTTACTTATAAATTTCTTTACAAATATATATATTCGATTCTCTTGTTTCTTAGTTTCTTTTACTCTTTTACTTTCGTAAGTAATGCGGCAACGACGCAAATGTTTTATAAAATGCGATTGCGATTAATTAACGCGGTGGATTTTCATTAATAATAATCTGTAGAACGTAATCGGTGCAATGTCACGTTTCAATCGGCTCCCTTAGTTCTTCGACCTCCCAGTTTGCCGGTTGTTTAAATGAAATCGAGTTCGAAACAAAGCAAGCCGTTATCATCGTTGACGGTAACACTTAGCGATACATTCTATCTTGCCGCGTTAATTTCTCCTCACAAATAGCAAATGTCTATAAAACTCGTACGGTTCGTGACTTTTTCGAACGGAGTATTATATGACAGTCTTTTCTTTCTTTCTTTTTTTTTTTTCTTCTCTCTCTCCCTAAGTCTATCGTACGATTCGAACGTGACAAAATTGGCGATTAATCGTTTTTCTCTTTCCCCTTCTTTTTTTTTTTTTTCTTCCACGTCAAAACTGTGAGTATACGCACTCACTGCCCATGCATGCAAACGAAAAGTCAACGATCGCTCACCTGCCACTTTCTTCACGATATCGGGCTCCGCTTTGATGTCGGCGGATGAATTTAATTTGTTATCGATCGCCTTCTCTATGCAGTCGAAATCTAAAGCATAATTATCCTTTCCGTTCGACATATTGTCTCGCTGTATGGTAAACGCGTGATCCTTAACTCCCCTGTTATTAAGTTTGTTTGCTAGATGCTCATTGTGATCCGCGCAGTCGTTTAATTTTATATCAGTCACGTTGAACAGCGCCGGTTCAGTCGACGAGACCGGAGAAACGACCATATCTGCAAATTTTTTGATGATTCAATAGAGGATATAATATTTAAAGACGTATCTCGTATCTTTTAAATGATAAAAATATATATATATATATATATATTGAACATTGGCTATTTGGCCAGGGATAAAAATATCTTCGAATTCGAATTTATCGCAATACGTACCGAGTTCGATGTTGGCGGACGATCTTGTAGTATCCTCTACGAAATTGGCAAAGTCCGGGATCGACCTGAGACACTTTCACGTCGGACCTGCCTATCTCGGTCAGCCTTGATCTTTGAAAAAAAGAAGAAAACAAAAAAAAAAAATTCAAAAGAAATATTATTTTTGGAGAGGAAGATTGATGTGTTTGGGTTTTAAAATTAAAAAAAAAAAAAAAAAATAACGTTAAAAATAGAAGAAGAAGAAATCTTACTCGAAATGGAAATATCCGATTTTATATGGATCTTACCGATAATCATAATAAATTTTATTATTACGAATGTAGATATTGAATGATCGATATCGATCAGAGTTATTCATTAACTGATAATACGACGAGGATATTCATGGCTCCACTGATAGCTCCATTTTGCTACTCTCTTAATGTCGTTGCTCTTATTGTTAGTCTAGACTTTTGATAGCGCGTGAAACTTTATATACGAGATCAGCATAGTATCATTAACGACATGAGGAACTTAGTTCTTGTATTACTATTAATCCAAGTCCACGTGTCGCAGGATTTATATTACACGGGGACAAAAAAAAGCTGAAAACAGCTATTTTCAGTATTCTCGAGAAGAATCTATCCTTCGAGGGCGATATTTTACGTTATGAAATTGTTGAAATTCTCGAACTCGAGTATTATAACTTTTTTTTTCTCTCTCTCTTTTTAATTCACGTTTCTATCTCACGATGGATAAGCGTCGTTGAATTATTACCATGTACGTACGTACACTCGATGATAATAGAAATTAACGCGATACATTCATTTACAGAAATAAACTTGCTATCAATTACATTTAATTGTGATACTATGACATCACACTTTTTGAAACAACAATTTACTGTTTAAAATATACGGAAATATATACGCTTTCCAACGCGTTTTTCGAGCTGCAAAAAATATTTTTCTTCGTAACGCTATCAGATTATATTTAATTGTCGGTTTTTTTTTTTTTTTTGTTTTGTATCGTAGACACTCGTAAAGACACGAAGCGTCGTTACGTTTTGTATCGTAGACGCTCGCTATCGTAGACAATATTGTTAAACAAAAAACGCGAAATATGTCGCGGAAGACAGCGAAGAAAAAAACGGGAAGAGTAAAAAGAGGAAGAAGAAGAGAAAGAAGGAAAGAAAGAAAGAAATAAAGTTTGTTATCTTGACCGATACTTACGTAGTAACGATATATTGAAGAATTTGCGCCAGCGTGTCGATATTTCCTCGTAAAGCGTTTATTGTTCCTTGATATTCGTTTAACCCTGCCACTTCTGCTCTGTTGTCGCTGCCCGATCTCGTTGTCGAAGTCGCGTGCAATTTCGTACGGGACTCCTCTCGATCAGCGGTACGTGAGCCGAAACGGAAAGTTGGTTCTGTCGTACGGTGACGGAGGATCGTGATCAATGATCGATCCAGCGTTGTGGAAATGTTGCTCAAGGAAGGAGTGCACAAATGCCGCGGGAAAAACGAGGAGGAAAAAAGAAGCGGTTCTCGCACCCGTAAACGCACCACCGCCGCGCGTACTCAACTGTTTGCCTCACACGGTCGTGGCCGACTGATAAAAGAAGCTTTAGTTCGTTTGTCGGCACTTCGACCGTTCATATGCATGGATGCGATGCGCTGATGGCCGGGCATACGCACGTGCGCTATCTCGACCGGCGACGATGGTGGGAGATCTTATTGTAAATAGATTGTAGATCGTAGATCAATAATTGATTCGCGAAATCGTTCTCGAACAGTTCTCGTTTCAACTACTGGATCCGATTCATGTTTCTCGATATGTATGGCGCCTCTTCCTTCGTTCCTTATACGCATACGTATTCGTACGCGTGTTACGTACGTTCCTGCATCGAGCAATGTAAATTTAAACGTGAGAAAAGAAATATTTTAAAATTTTTCTTCCTACGCGATAAGAATAATTGCAAGAGCGTAATAATTCGTTATCTAAATATTCTTGTATTATTTTTGTAAAATTAAAAGCTCGATAATTAGATTAAAGCTACCGATTTCATTTCCATTTATTAACGATCAAGATGTACAAGAGTGATTCATCTGAATTATTATATATTTAAGATTATCGGCGAAGATCTCGATATTTCTTCGAAGAATCTATTTTTAATTAATAATACGCTCAAGGCGAGTGATTCAGTATCGGGAAAAGATGTATGTGTGTAATACTGGGAAATCTTTTTTTCTTTTTTCCATGAAAAGACGAACGCGATACAGAAGGATATCGAATTTATCGAATACATCGAATATCACGGGGATCGATCGAACGGGAAGAGAAGATGCGTATTCATTTCCATTTTCCAGTATCCCGCGCGATGTAAAATGCAATTGGTCGGATGTAAATCGGACGGTTTCACGGCACGATCGTTTTCGAAGAAATTTCTCGACAATTGGTATTCTCGCGCGTACGCTTGTGCGAATCGAATGGGATTTATTTGATTCTTTTCAATGACGTCATACACGACGATTCATGATCGAGCGGTGAAGTACCTAGCTAACACGTGACACGCGTGGTCATGTAACATTAATCGTAAACTCGATAGTTCGTGTCGTTAAATGGCAGATAGCCATGGAAACATTATGATAATTAGGTCGAATAATTAGCAAATAATCATTATTTTTGAATATATTTTCGTAAAGTGGTTGTATAATTGTTTATAAAGTAGAACGAAAATATCATAACGTTGAAAATTTCTAAGATTCGAGACGCTTGCAATCAAAACGTTAGAAGGAAAACTTTGCGAAAAATTTAAATTCTTTCGCGAAATTGTTGTTGTCACCCAAACACATTACAATCGAATCAACACCGATCCCACTCATCACCGACTTGAGTCAACCGTCTGGATAATATTATTTTGCTCACCTTATCCCGCCAATTTCGGAATGACTTCATCAGGTAGTGGGGAATATATCACTCGCCTCGTCGCAGAGTTTATTGCTCCTTCCAATTTGGAGAATCACAGATGCAATTATCGCGCATACGTTGATTTTTAGCGGCGTACAGTCGATTCGATTCGGTTCGTTTCTCTAGAAAATCGCTTTTAATATTACGTGTTCCGATATTTTCAGACATTGAAACAATATGGAAAAACAACGTCGGGAACGCGATTTTAGTTGAGATTAACGCACCTGGTGGCGAACCGATTCAAGACTAATTTGAGGAGAACAAAACGATTATACCGATATAAACGATAACACAAAGTATAGGTCGAGTACGTGTCTTAATATTTACATTCGAGAATACAAATATCAAACACGATTGATTCCATTTTCTGTTAAAGGGGTAATATCTGAGCGGTAAACAGGTATAAATGACGCGTATCGCGTTTGTTGATTGTTAAACAATCGTTAAAAAAAAAAAAACATCCATTGATATGACTTTTTAAAATTTGAGCATGCTCGGTTGAAATTGAATAAATATGGATTGTGTTTTAAATGTTTTAAATTGTTACAATTGCGTACCAACGTAATATGTAAGAAAAGTCGAATTAATCGGTATTTTTAAATAATCAGTTAATTCTTATGATATCGTGAAATAAATAATAATCATCATTTAATCGCTGACATTCGACACCTTTCGTTTAATCTAAATACTACAATGTAAACAATCTTTATAGCAGCTTTATTACTGGTTATAAAACGCACGGATTTCTCCCTACCATGATTGATGAGCATTGTAAATGTATATATTATGCACCGTTTAATTAGCAGTGATTTTCTTTCAACTTACCATTTTATCTTTTTCTCTGTTTCTTCTTCTTTTTTTTTTTTTGTTCTTCCCCCCCCCCTCCCCCCTCCCCCCTGTTTGACAACGACATCGATCACGTTTCTTGAAATTTATCTTATTAGTGGGATTTATCTATGTTATCGCGGTATTCTTGCAAATGCGAAAGATAGAGATTTCCGGTATATTCGGTGGATTTTAATAATTCTATTGACTTTTTTCAGAGTAATGCATTACGCAGTAGTATGATTACCGTGCTAAATTTCAATGAAAATGACTTTAAAAGATTATATACCAATAATTGAGGAAAATAGTGACTCATCATTATCTTAGAGACATGGATGGACAGTAAAAATGTACGTGCTCATTGGCATTCTGACGAAATAATTCTTATTTAATTCTAATTTATACAGATTCTTACCTGTTGTTCTTTTCAAGGAAAATACGTAAAAAGATATATTTTTCTAGTGGGATTTTTCACAAGGATAAATATTTAAGATTTCATCTTAATTTATTTGCAATTTAGAATTTTAATTGGCACATATTAGAGCGATATCATCGGAAAGTATCTTTCATAAAATTTGATCTTGAGTACGATACTTACCATCGACCTTCAATCGACTGTAGGTCGAGAGTCTTGTTTGTTGCGAGTAACATTTGTCATTGATAATAGAGATTATTATTTCAATAAGAATCTCATCTTAAGTGCCATGAAAATGTGTATAGTACTTTTAATATAAATTAGAAGAAATAACTTGTTATGATTTTCATTGATAGACAGATAGATCAGTTAAGATAGAAGAATAATTCTGACGTAAATGATTCTAATCTTCATTTTCATCGATTCGTTATATATTTATCATTATCATACCTTATTAAACTCACATAGTTTATCGACGAAACTTTTTATCGACGCTTGAAATTGAATTCTTGATTGAAATTCTATGATCTGATAAATAATCGGATCATATAGAATTATCATTTGACTCGTAAAGGAAAAAAAAAAAAAAAAAAAAGAAAAAAAATTGTTACGCGAATCTAATAATACTAGATATTAATTAATATATCTCTCAATTCTTTGCTACATTTCATAATGTAAAATATTCATATTTTATGATATCTTCATATTCATATCTAAACTGATATGATACTATAAAAATTAAACAATTATAGCAACGCAATTAATTTCCCAGCAGATTTCTATTCAAAGAGATTAAAAAAAGTATACTTATATGAGATTACGTGATAAAGGTAAGAAGGAACAAGGAATGATACGACGGTATATAATGATTATTAGACTATATTATTGGACGTATCCAACTATTCTTGACTAACAAATAATATTTATCGACGAACAACCAACTTCTATGAACTTACAATGTAATTTTGATTCTCGAATATTTTGATTCTCGCTCCTTGGATTTTTGTACCCTCGATCGTGTCAGAACAATTGCTAACAACCATATTAAAATGAATATGCCAAACATAGTTACAATGAACATTAATACAATGATGTTGTTTACATGTCGCGTTACAATTCGTCGAAAATTTTTTAAAAGATATTTTTCGCTTCGATGGTAAAAATGTTCGAGTTGACGACGAATGTAGATACTTACAGTAGTTTTAATTTTTTTTTTTTTTTTTTTTTTTCTTCTTCATATATCATATATCATATATCCAACTTACATAAAAGAGCTTGTTCCCAAGAATTTGATCAATTTGTATACGTATTTCGTATTAAATTGAAGGAACAAAAAGTTTCACGTTCTTTCATATAAGTCAGATATATTTGACACGTTGCAAATTGTCAAATCTTTCGATCATTTCGCTCAAGTGTATCGCGTTGGCTTCGATTCTCTCATATACACGTATTATTCGCACATATATAAATATTTCATAATTTTTTTTTTTTCCTTCGATCTCGATTAAATAATATCGCTTATAATAATATCATTATATTTCTTTCATTTGTCCTTCGAAAAAAAGAAAAAAAAAGTCGAAACATAAACGTCATAGGGCAAGATATTAAATATTAGAACCTCTATCGTGTAAATACTTATAAATATACGTATTCAGATGAAAGCATTACATTAGGAACATTCGGTTTGCTGTAGTCTAACGTTACGTTACAGCTTTTTGTTACGCTTAAAATTATAGATCTCCTTTTCTTTCCTTTTTTTTCTTTTTTTCTTTTTTTTTTTGTTACATTTTCTTTTTTTTTTTCTTTTTTTTTCTTTTTTTTTTATCAAAGAATCGGTAATTCTCTTGTTCGATAAAACGTTCTATTGCGTAGAAAAGATATTCTTCTATATTTCGAAAAAGTCTCATGTTTTCGTCGTTTCGAGGAAGTTTCGACGTTCTCTTTTTGCAAAAATAATAATTTCGATATATTCTTCGATTTTCGCGAAAAAATATTTTGGTACGGTGTGCTCTTACTCTCCTATTACTTTATTTTTACCTCTATCCTTTTCTTCCTTCATCTATCATTTACGACTTGCCGGCTGTGGCCGACTTCAAAATTTTTCTGATCATTATCAGACGAACGTAATTGTCTTCCGTTTTTAATGTTCTTTGTCACAGTTGTTCATAATTAACATACTCGTTTGTATGCGATTACATAAAATCACGATGACCGTTCGTTATGTACACACGTGTAAATAGCACACCTCTCCTAACTTAAATATACACATATT